CAGGATCTTCGCCTCATTAGCCACCGTAGCCGCTTTGCAAGAGAGTTTTTGCGTGTTCAACATACTCTTCCTCCCAGTACCAGCCTGAACATCTAGTGCCATCCCATTGAAATTAAAACAAAAATTAGAACTTTAATTACAATCATCATGAAAATAAGTATAAATTAACCATAATCATCAAATCGACAAAATAACTCACATTGCCATCCGGACACTTGTAGAAGATACGGCCCTTGTTGGGACACTCCTTCCTCACCCGGTACTCCATCACAATCTTTCTCTCACACTTCTTGCATGCAATGAGAGGGAGGAGGTCCGACCTCGATCGCTTTGGAACACGATGAGAGGCCGAGGAACCAAAGCAGTTGCCATCTACTCTCTATACTCATTTTTAATATAATATAAATTTCTCATTTTATAAACAAATAAAATTAAAAAACTCTAAAATTCTCTATATCTCTAAACCATGAAGTGTGATATGCATGCTAGAAATGAAAGCTGAATACTAGTTTTGAATAACTACTTTAACCTTCCTTCATCCAAATATGCAAACTTTAAAGTGATTTTGAGCTTAAATGGCTTACAAATAAAAAAATCCACCATAAAAACCACATATATCTAGTCCACAAAATGAGATATACTACTGATGAAACATGAGAGTATAAAGTTGGTAACCTTTATATCCAAAGAATTGATGGAGGAATCGAAGAAATCTTGTGATTACCAGCGATGAGGAAGAAGAGAGGCCAGTGATGAAGCAAGAACACTTGAGGTCAAGTGGCTCGGGCTCGGGGAGAAAGAAAGGGGTATATAGGAGGGACCTTTAATCCCGGTTGGAGACACCAACCGGGACTAAAGGTCCTTTCTAGTCCGAGACAGAGCCTCCAGTAGGGAGTAGACTTTTACTCCCGATTGGAGGGACCAACCGAGAGTAAAAAGTTAACCTTTAGTCCTGGTTGGTAGCTCCAACCGGGACTAAAAAGGTCCCTTAAGCAAAAAGCTGCTGTCATGGCCAGTTAGGCGGGGACCTTTAGTCCCGGTTGGAGCTACCAACCGAGACTAAAGGTTTCTCTAGTCCCGAAGCGCGAAAAATACTGGGACTAAAGCCAAATTTCAAGTGGATCAAAAGTCATTTTTCTACCAGTTGCTATTGTTTGGTTGCATGGACTTTTGACTCGATCCAGAGACAACATATACGCCAAAAGCAGCAAAGCTGCATCACATCAGTCAAAGCCCTTGAGAAACAGATTCCAATCTCATTTTCGTGGAGCCAGGTTGATAGAGGAATCTTGGATGACCTGAGCCTGACCCAAGTCACCATACAAGCATCCGAACAACGATTTCTTGCCCTAGGGCACATCCTCACTGCCAGCCCTAGGTTCCTTGTTTGCGGTTATTGCGGGTTAAAAATCATGCCCAAACCCACATAAGGCATTGTTTAGATGCATTTGTATCCACCTCAATCCATTAATGTGTTAGAATGAACGGGGGTGTAACTTAATTTAATTAATTGCTATCCCAATACACCCCAACACATGTGAATTGGGATGGATACAAGTGCGTCCAAACAAACTCTAATGTATATAGGTCTAGATGGGGTTGTGTTAGTTGGTGGCGACATGTAGCGGCCCATGATCAGGTGTAGTAAGATTTACTCTTTCACATGTTCCAAAAGAAATAGGTCTATCATCACATTGCAACAAAAAAAATTGTGTATGCTAGATCTAATAGGGTAAATACAAAGATCTATCTTTTTATTCATTCCAAGTACAAACATCTTGTTATATAATACAAATCGTTTGTATTATATCTTTGGAACGTGATAAATATCTAAATATAACTAGCACGCATGCATATGTCACTTTCCAACAAATCAAGCATGAAATTAATACCTCATACAAACATTTTCCCATTTATCCTATTTTTAAACTACAAAGTTATATAAATACTCCGTCAATCCTTAAATAAATACTGAAGTTGTCTTAAGTTTTTTTAAAGTTTGACCGGATTTATAAAAAAGAACACCAATATTTATGACAACACTATAAAAATATCATACATATTGGTGATGTTTAATTCCTATAAAATCCAGTCATATACTAAGAAAAGTTTGACTCTAAGATGGTAAGTTGTAGGAATTGGTTTATTTGGAATGGAGAGCGTAATATTTCGTATAATATGTGATTATAACCATTGATATCTAGTCAGATAGACGGTCCACAACAATTTGGGAGTAACGTGCAATTGTATTTAAAACAAAATATGTTCATATATTTAATTAGTTATATTAAAATAATAGTCAAAGCACATGCCGTACGTGCCACCAAATGCCCACGGTGGCTGCCCATCGAGGTGCCTGTATTTGTCGGTTCTCACACTTGATATAGAGCAGGGCAAGCTATCTGTTGCGCCGATGAAGATGTCTCGATCCACTGCCAAGAACACAGAAAAGGAAGACCCGACAATAACATAGTTATTTGGAATCCCCGATATGATGCAGCGCCAAAGACACGCCAAATTAAAAAGTCAAGACAGGATTCTCTTCCAGATATCCGTGCCAACATTAGCCGCACCACCTAACATGCATGCACGCCTCAATGCACATTTGCATTTGGCTACCAACAACTACCGTGTTATATAATAGCAAACTTATTTGTGTTGCACTTGCACCGATGGGTTTAACTTGTTGCGTGGTTATCTGAATGATTTGTGGGTTAAAGATTTACTTAGCAATTACGTCATAAATTTCAGTTTGCTTATTCATAAAAAAATATATTTTTAGATATTATTTAGGAATCAAACTTTATACCGTGCTTGGATATGCGGTGGGCTAACTTGTATGGGTACAAAATGTTTATAGATTTATTAATAACCATCTCATGCGTTCCAAAATGTTTTAGATTGGACTCCGTACCATACATGAACACTTAACTCGTATGGAAATGGAAGAGAGTGGCGGATCATGGAAACACTTGTTCTAATTCGTTTTGAAATGAGACTCATGCACAGTGCTTGAGCACACTACCCTAACTTATTATCTACACACAACAGAGATTGAGTCTGTTAGAGATTGAGTCTGTTAGATCTTCATCGAGCAGGGGTGCATGCGGGAATAGATTTTAGGAAAAATTGGTTTGGTAGCATCGAAAGTTCATGAGAATCATAAAATACCATTGAAAAATCTAGTCTTCATAAAATAGCACCGAAAACTCTAAAGGTTATCTTAATCTAGCATTAAGTCCATTTCCTTCCCTCTTCTCCTCTCCCTTCCCTCTCTGTTAACTCCATGGAGCTCTGGTGGGTAGGGGGGGCATGAGCCCCCACGTTGGGCCCGCCCCCTGCCATCAAGCATTGTGAGCGATGAAGATCGAATAAACCTTTTCTTGTTTAATATTAGAAGTAAAATAGAAAGATACATATATAAAGGCACATATACATGCTATAATAAGGTCTGTCGTGCCACACCCTACTATGCTGCCAACGACAGCTACGAGGTGAATCTTGAGCCCCTCGCCGCCACCACGGGGTTCGTTCCGGACGCTGTCCACGGCCTCGCACAGTGCCATGGTGATGTCGACACCTCCACCTACGACACCTGCCTCACGGGCGCCTTGCAGGACGCGTGGCAGCTGTGCGTCTACGACAAGGACGCCATCATCTACTACCGACAACTGCGTCCTTCGCTACTCCACCCAGGACTTCCTCCTCGACTCCGACACCACCGATGGATTCGGTAAGATCGTTGCAAACAGAAGCGCCACAAAGAACGACGACGGCATCGTGTCCTCCTCGCTGGCTGGCAGGCTACTGTTCGATGCCGACGTCAGTGTCCTCGTGAACGTCATCGTAGACGCCGCCACGAACTCCTCCACTAGGTTTGCCATGGGGTTGGTGCAGCTGCCCGGAGGGGAGCTTTCTAGGCTAGCGCAGTGCACCCCCGACATGGCACCGACCGACTACCGGAGCTGCCTTGCCTACTTACTGGCTATGGCGTCAAAAAGTTTAAGCGGGAGAAATAATAGTACCGTAAGTTGGTTAGACTTCTTGTAGTGGAACCTTCCTCTACCCCAGATTCTAGTCTCTTCTCGTCGACAGCGGAGATGTTTACCGGAAAACCTGTCCGCCGTCACCCGTCGGCGTCACTGTCCTGGGCAAGAAAATTACCGTCCGGACAGAGCGTTACAAAACCTCGCGCGGAACGCCTCATCTCACTGTCTCACCCAGAGACCAGAGTACCCAAACCCAGCGGAATCCTGACAGCGATCGCTCCAGCGCGTCCCGCCTAATCCCTCTCGTGACGCCTGACGCCATTGCGAGCCACGCCAGCACGTACGTACGTACGCCGTCTCCTGGTCCAGGGACACCACAGCCACGAACACAGACCAGCACCAGCCACGTCACGAGCGTACGTATACTGTACATACATACATACATACGGTGTGTGCTGTGTGCTCCAACCTGGGCTGTACTGTACGTACATCGTATGCCTACGTGACGTGTCGTGTGCCCGCAGGAGTGGGCCATGCCGAGCATGTGGCTCAGGTACCGTACTATACGTAGGAAAATACAGGCCGGCCTGGACACGCCTGGTGCTGCTGCTGGTGGTTTTTCTTTTCCCCTCCCTGGGCCGAGCCCACGGAGCAGGCCAGCGGGCCCACTAGGTCGAGACCGGCCACCTCATCCACCCCACCGCCACCAGGTGCACCGCACCTCGCCCGCCGCCGGTCTCTCTCTCTCTCCTCCGACTATACTCCCTTATCCTGTCCCCTCCCCTCTTCCCCTCCCTGCCCGTCTCCCCTCCACGCCCGCCCGCCCACCCACCCACCCATCTCGCTCGCTAGCTCGCGCACCGAGATTTCTCGCCTGCTCCCTCGCTCCGCGGTTCTTTCCCTGCTGCGTGCCGGCCGGTCGATCCGGGCGCCGGGGCCTGAGGTGCGCCGCGGCGGATTCGCTGATTGGTCAGTTGATTGGTTCGGTTGTTAGGTTGGTTGGTTGCGGGCATGTCCACGGCGATGGTGTCGCCGGCGCACGGCGGGTTCCGGCGGTCGGGGAGCGGGAAGCCGGATCCGGAGGAGGCGGACAGGATGAGGAACGCTAACGGCTTCTTCTCCGTCCCAGATGAGGAGGAGGAAGAAGAGGAAGAGCATGAGCATGGCGAGGCTGCGGCGGTGAGGAGGAGGGAAGAGGACGAGGAGGAGGACGAGGCGGAGGCGCTGTCGGAGGCCTCGTCGATCGGGGCGGCGTCGTCCGACAGCTCCTCCATCGGGGAGAACTCCGCGTCGGACAAGGAGGAGGAGGAGGAGGAGGAGGAGGAGGGGGAGAGCAAGGTGCAGGGGCTCGGCATGATGGGGCTGGCCACGCTCGAGTCCTTGGAGGATGCCCTGCCCGCCAAGTAAGCTGCTTACTTCTCTGCTAATAAATCCCCCTTCTTGATCTACTGCTTGTTACTGTAGTATCTACCAAGTTTTAGTGGTAGTAGCTGCTGCTGCTGCTGCTGCTTGGTTTTGTTCCGTCTACTGTGTCAGTAGAAATTGCTCTGCAAGACCGCTGCTGGAGATAAACACCCTGTTTTATATCGATAAATATCCGATTTTTCGCTAAAACATAATGTTCTTCTACCAAAATTATCAAAGGTTGGTTTAGATCCAAGTAGTGTGCTGGCTAGTAATGATAAGTGTTTTTCCCCATCCTAGGTGGTAGCAGTAGTAGTACCATCCATGCTCATTTGGTCAAACTTAGCATGCTGTTCCTGTTCATCATACTGACAAAGCTAACGGATTTGGCGTACCAGATAAAAAAAAATCCAATCAAACAAGCAAGTGGTTTTGAGCAACAAAACCATCGATCTAGTTTTGCACCAGCAGTGCATTCCCCCTCCTGATTCTTTTGCCCTAATTGATAATCCTTAACAATCTCTTCAACCGCAGGCGGGGCCTGTCCAACTTCTACGCGGGCAAGTCCAAGTCGTTCACGAGCCTGGCGGAGGCGGCGGCGACGGCGGCCGCCAAGGAGATCGCCAAGCCGGAGAACCCGTTCAACAAGCGCCGCCAGGTGCTGCAGGCGTGGTCGCGGCGCCGGGCGTCCTGCATCGCGCTGGCCACCACGTACCTGCCGCCGCTCCTGGCCCCGGACCACGCCGTGGAGGAGGAGGACGACGAGGAGGGCGCGGACGACGAGGATGACGAGGAGGAGCGGCATGGCGGCAGCGGCGGTCTCAGGAGAAGGAGGCCGCCCACGTTCCCGTCCCCGCGGCTGAGCGTGCACGCCACTGCCGGCGGCCAGGTGCCGAGGAACAGCTCGTTTAGGTCCCCGAGGTCCTTCTCCATGATGGATCTCCACAGCGCGGGCTGCGATTGGCAATCAAGCAGCCAAGATTAGAGCAGAGCCTCTCTTTCTTCTTCCTTGTTCCTCCTCTCCTCTGTTGATGTCTACAGTAGGTGTGAGAGGTGCTGTTACTGGTAATGCTGCCACTGGTAATGCTGTTAGTGCTATATGATCATCGTCATCAATCAAGATACATATAAGAAGAAACAGAATTTCTTGTGCTTGCCATCGTGTCGGCCTGAATGTCGCATTAACATTGCTCTGCCAGTTTGCCTGAATGTCGCATGAACATTGCTCTGTCAGTCTGTCTGAACAAACCAGCTCCAGCAGCATCAGGATTTCAGGACTGTGCCCCAGAACTTCCAAGTAACCAATAGCAGCATGTGATACACTGATCGGTACTACTCGTTTCGCTCAATCGGTCATTAGGAGTGAGCAATCATAATCATCATGCGTGCCGAGAAAGAACAAGAAAGGGACGAAGAATATTCAGGAGATGTAGATGATGATGATGAGTGTTCTCCTTTGTGTCGTTCTCGTCTCTGCAACAGCTGATGCTTGCTGCTGGTGACTTGTGGGTTGTGGGAGCAGATAAACACCCTGTTTGTTTATTGGTTTCGGTAGCTTATTCAACCAAAATAAATAGTGTTTTTCTCTCACGACAAACTCAGTTTCAGCAGCCTGCCTGCGAACACGCTGAAAAACGGTGGGTGATGAGTCCTAAGCCGTGCCTAATCTCATGTTTGTGCTACTACTACTAGTACCGTCCAGTTTTTCGGAGGGAAGGGAAGGGAAGGGAAGGGAAAAGAAAACGCTCTGCTGACACCATAATATCAGCAGCAACAGGGTTAGCGAAGAAGGCAGACACAAGAAAAAGGGATCTTTTTTTCACAAGGCAGCAGTAGCTTTCTCTCGAAAAGGAGGCGTCCCATGTGTGATAGCACAAGCAAACTCCCTCCTTGTAGAAGAGCAATGGTATAGGAGGAGCAGTAGGTCTAGTGGTACTAATTAATGGAAGGTTTCTTCATTTCTACAAAAACAGAGTTTAAAATAATAAAACAAATACTAGTACAAACTACTAGCAACCACGAGTTGCCACGTAAACGGTTCACGAAGCAGACTTGTGTGTGTTTTTTAATAAATATATAAACTTTTTCTTGTGCCGTGGCTTTGGGAGGTGTGTGAGCGACGAAAAGAGAGGAGGAAAAGAAAACCCAATCACGGCCACCGACCCCGGTGTTAATCCCGGATCCTACGTCGTCGGTCGTCTCCCCGGACGGTGGCATCGGTCTCATCGTATCGGTAGACCGGCGGCGGCGGCGGCGAGGTGTCGCGGGAGCCGCCGTTTCAAATTTAATGGAGGGTTAGCTAGCTGCTACTAGCAAATGGGAGTGTTGTTTAAGGTTTCCAAGGGACGGGATGGGGCGACGGATGCGATGGAACGGAGCATCCTATGACTGCGCTGCTGTACTCCAACAAGCTTGTTTTCTTTAGCTGACGCCGAACCGAAGCGATGCCATGCGACGGAGCAAATGTCATTAGGCAAGGTACAGTGATCCTGTTCATTTCTCTTATAATCCGTATTTTTTTTAGTTTGTTTGTTTAGTCTGAACCGTCAACAAATTAGAGGGAGGGAGAGGGAAAGAGCGAGAGGGAGAGGGAGAGAGGGGAGACGGGAAAGGGGCCCCAAGGTGCACGGACGCACGTTGCAGCGGCAGCAGGGATAAGGTGTGGAGTTAGGAGGGGGCTAATCTAATCTTTATCTTACCCTATCCTGTCTCGTTAAAAATACTCGGCGTCCGTACAGGCGGCGAGCTGGCCGATCGAGGCGGCGAGGACTACTACTAGCAGGTGGATCAGGCGATCAGCGTCTCAGCGTCTGCACCTGCAGTCCTGCACCCTGCCTCGGCTCGGAGACCCCACCTGCCAGCCTGTCTTTCCAGCCACGGCAAAGCAAGTGGATCATGAGTTCATGATGACCAGTGGGTGACCTTATATAACTCTCCATGTTCTCTCTCCGTCTCGGCAATGGATTTTCATGCTTTCTTTACTTTGCATTTACGACGCCATATCCCCTGTTCGGCTGCTCCAATAACAGTCTAAGGTACGGTAGTACAGTGTTTTTCTCTCAACTAATCAATCGTACAAATCACTAAAAATGACTTATAGACCAGCCGAATAACGCTTTACATTTTCATGGCAGTATGCCACGGCAGAAGTCCGAGCTAAAGTACAGCCTAGCGATTGTGCTAAGCTCTGTGCATTATTATGGTCATGGATGTTGATTAATTAGGGTATGTTTGGTTGGTGCTAAAGTTTGCTATGCCGAACGTTAAGCATACTGTGTGGCTACCACACAAAGAGTGACCAGCAAGATCAAAGCCAAAAGTGTGGCAAAAAATAATCTATGACGTGTGGGATAGGACACTAAGAAAGCGTGGTATATAGTTGTGACAGTAAATCAAATAGCTACTTAAAAAACTATGGCACGACAAACCTGGACGTAGATAGTTGGGGTCACCAACCAAGGGTCACCAACCAAACAGCTGCCTAAAATCCTATAATATAACTAACCTAGGGTATGACAAGTTGTGGTCACCAACCAAACAGGGTCAAAATCTTGTTTAGTAGATTTAGGATAAGCCATGGTTTTGGTTTGCTACCAAAACGCCGACATCTCGCATTTAATTTATTACATATAATTTTGTCTATCTTTTAATTTTTTTTCTTTGCTACATTTTTGGTAAAAAAAATTGTCCAACTTTTTAGCAATTCTTTTGTTAAACTTTTATTAACAAAACAAATACATTTGGGTAGTATAGTAAAACCACTAAACCAGAAAAAAGGCACTGTAGCCCAGTGGCGAACCAAGCGAACAAGCCCACGGTAATCATGAGAAATTTCAATATTAACCCTCAGTTTGCACGTCCCTCCAAATTTGACACTCAATTCGTAAGCCTTTCGAAATATAACCCTGGGCACGCTAATTCTTTGAATCTGAGGGATTTCTCTCTTTTTCTCTCTTTTTCTAATTCTAATATATCTTGGGCACTGTTTAGGGCATAGAAAAAGACCTTTCTACACCTCCCTCTAAAAAAAGAGCCTGGACGTCCGCTCATGCCGTGGGCGCGCTCGCTACTGTCCTTCTGGGCGCCCCCTCCCCAGATCTCACGGTCCCTTCCCCAAGGGCCGTTCTCATTTCCCAAACTACACAGATCTAATATATATTTGATCAAAAATTAATGTAAACAAAATATAAATTATAATCAAATTTCAGGATAGAGAAAATAGCCATCCAGATAATTTAAGAGTGCAAGTTCACTGACAATAACCATTCATACATAAGAGGTTCTCTAATAACCATCCATACATAAGAGGTTGTCTAGACAAAATTACCATCCACACATGAGTGATTCACTAGACAAAATAACCATCCAGACATAAGTTCACATAGACAAAAGAACCATCTAGCCTGGGAATACCGAAACATACAAAGGACTCATAACATGGTTCTATGGTTATTCAAACATCGTTCTTTTTCCCCCTTCCTTAGAGTGAGCTTTTTCTTCAAACCCAGTCGCTTTCTTGGAGTGCTCACAGCATTACTTGTCCCTTCTCTAGTTTGACTGAATAACATGAAAAATGAAATGGTTCAGTTGATGACCAAAGGTAAGTATACACATGTTTAATTGGGCTTGTATTGAATCATTTTACCTTCTTGTCATAGCTCTTGGGCTTGTAGTGATCTGATTTGTCCCTCCATGTTCCACCATTGTTAATTGCATTTGCCTAAAAATAAGACTATAAGTTTAGCCCAAAATAAAAGATTGTACAGATCCAAGTAAATGATCAGTTCATAGAATGTCACCTTCTTGTAACAGGTCCAGGGCTAGTGTTCATTTCACTTGCCAGGGTTGATGCCACAGGTCCAGGACTATTATTCACTAGATTTTCTTCCACATTAACCTTCTGCCTTTTGGATGGACTTGGAGCTACATCACCTTTCGTGCAACCATCAGGCCAACCTGCCTTCCCTTTCTTGGCTCGACTTTTCCTGTAAATGTATAATTGATATAAGTTGAAAATATGAAGCAAGTATGAGTTAGTTAAAAAAAGGCATACACATCTACCTCTTCTTTGTTCCATTGAGAGGGCACTTTGGAGATGTCGTCCTATGGCCAAGACCCAAGCAATTTTTACACTTAACCTGTCACATGCCTTTGCCTCTAGCGGGCTTGTTTCCCTTGTTCTTAGTGCAGCTAGGAATTCTTTTTTTTCCTTTGTCTCCCAACATCTCTCTTGCTGAGAGGTGGCAACACTTTGAATCCAGGATCCACTTTCACCCATTGAGACTTATCAGGTAGTGGTTTGATCACACCATCATAGGCTAGTCTAAAATGGTACACTGAATAGTAAGAATGCAGATACTCTTCTATCTTAAGATTTCTACGTGTGGTTATGAGTAACAAAGCATGTCCATATGGTTTTCCTGAGACTTGCCACTCTCTGCAGGTGCATGTGTGGTTTTGAATATCAACCACATGTTTTATGATCTTTTGTGAAGCAGTTACCTCCATCACCTCTGTTTCATCCCTTCCACCTTCTTTGTGTTTCAAGTGACTCAACTGCTGACTCATTGCATATAGTTTGCGAACAACAATCAACAGCATTACATGTCCTTCAAATTTCTCACCTATTCTTCTCCTTCTTGCATAAAGTTCCATGAACTTGGACCTAAGAGTGTCGATAAGGTCAGCTATGGGAAGGTCCTTGATGTCTTTCACCCAATTGTTCTAAACCTCTGCCACATTATTAATGATATGGTCACACTTTATTGCCTCTGAGAATTTGCTCCTCATCCACTTTAACTTGTGATTTGCTTTCAACCTTGGCTCAACCTTTTTTTTCACTGCATACATCTTGTTCATTAAGTACTCGTGGTACTCTGGTTGGAAAGTCCTAGCCACAGGGCACATTCTCCCAAATGCAGGTCCTTGAAACCTCTTGCTAAAATTTTCATTAAATGGACAAAACATTCTCTATGTTCTGCCCAAGGGTACACCTTCTTCACTGTATTTTTCTAGGCCCTTGCAAGCATCTGAACATATAGCTTGGTGAGGTGGATTTCCAATTGCCTTTTGCAACTGCTGCATAAACCAAGTCCAATTATCAGTAGTCTCACCATAAAAAAATCCAAATGCAACTAAAAACATCCAATTGTGCCCGTCCAATGCTGTAGCTGAAGGCATGTGGCCATCCCATCTACCATTAAGAGCCGTTGAGTCAATACTAAAAAATGGCCTACAACCGTTTAGGAAACCATCAATACTTGGTTTCAGACAACAAAAGAACCTATGAAAAAATACACCTTCCTCTTTATGCACATCTATCTCTACAACACTTCCTGTCATTCTGAGCTCAATCTCTGCCTTGAAGTTGAACAAATATCCAAAACTTTCTTCCCATGCACCAAAAAATTGTTGTTCTGCCTTGTCCTTACCAAGGTGCACGGTTGAATAGCCTATTGTCACTTGATACTTCTCCTCTAACTCTTCTTGTATTTTCTTAGCACCCATGTTTGGATCCTTCTTTAGAAGAGGAATTGCTTTCTCTGTCACCCAATGGTATGTTGCCATCTTGGTCCTCACTCTCCCAGTATAAGGACAAAAATGCTTTTCTTTATTTAATGTAATATGAAAAATTAAAACAAACATGTTAGCAACCTTGAAAAATTAAAACAGACTTGCAGGACAAATAAAAGTAAATAATATATTAAGTCAGCATGTTGTCTCTAAAAAAGTGTTAGTACCCTGACTTGCTGCTTATCTCGCATCAGCCTTGCTACAATAGACCATGGACAACCCTCTGAACAAATCTTTGCAAGATTTCTATGTTCCAAGTTCAAACTGTCCCATTATACCATGTTGCCTTACTGCAGCTCGGAATTCATCCATATTTGGATATATGGTTCCAACTTTCATTGGAGTGTTTTCTCTGTCATAGAACACATAATCCTCACTAGGTATATGATCATCCACCAACAACTCTCCATCCTAAAGCTCAAGATCATCAACGTTACTTTCATTCTCCTTTTCAGTAGCCATCCTAGCTTGCTCAGCTCTCTCATCCTCTGCTTTAAGGACAACAAACTCATACATTGCTTCCTCATTCATCACAGGAGTGCAGCCCCAATCTGATCTTCTGCAAGAGGAATTATCTCTAGATTGTCCCAATCAATTAGAGGAGAAACAAGCGCCTCATTGTTGCAATCCCCTTGTCTTGCGACATTATCATGCCCCACATTGTTCACTGCTGCCTCTATAATAGTTGAGTTGGAAATCAAATCTGCGGGTTTGTCCACAATATCAACAAACAAGAACAATTTCTTATCATCCATCCTTTCAGAAAATGCAAATGCAAGTTCGACATCATCCACCAATTTTCTTTCTCCACCACTACTCATGTCAAATTCATGTATTATAGGCTGCTGGTCGCTTCCCCAGTTCACCCTCGCTTCCAAGTCCTTTTGTAGCATTTCTAAAGTATAACATCGACAATCCACAACCCATTCAAACAATTTTCGTGGCACATCAAAAGAGCAACCATTGTTCAACTTAGCAGTGAACTAAGAAAACTGAACACACAACCTAAATGCCCCAAACAGATCCAGATCAATTCTACCATGTACCAACAAAAAAATAAAAGAGACACAGTATCAACCTTGTGCCCCCAAAATAGCAAGATCTGCATAACAGAAAATAGACGGATTTAGGATTGGTGCCATTACCCTAGAGGAGCCATGAGCCGGAGGAGGACACCGGCGTCGCGCCTGGTGGCGGCAACCGGTGGAGGGTGGAGGCCGCTAGCGCGCTGCGATAGCCTGCAGCCACGGCCGAAACCCTAGCGCCCCAACAGCCTACGCGCGGGCGAAATGCTCTGCGGGTGAGGGCTACGGCGAGCTGCTGGAGATGCGTGGAGCTGGTGCTGCAGCGGTGGTGTTGGCTGGAGGTGGCAGGTTACCGCCGCCGAACTTGACAAGCCCCGAGCGTCGCCGCTCGAGTGTGTCCCTGCTCCCTCTACGAGTCGGACCGAACAGAAACCAAGTGAAACTCTTCTTTCCAAGGGAGGGGGCAGAAAGGTCTTTTCGTGTGCCCCAAACAGTGCCCAGGATTTATTGGAATTAAGAAAGGGGAGAAAAAAGCAAGAATCCCTCATATTTAAAGAATTATTATGTCCAAGGTTGTATTTCGAAAGACTTAAGAATTGAGTATCAAAAGGGGCGTGCGAAATGAGTGTCAAATATTGAAATTTCTCCGGTAATCACAGACTTATTTGATGCCCTACAAAAAAAAAGCCCGTTAGATACGAGAGGCCCAGCTCAGCCCAAATAATGCCTTTCAGGCCAATGGAGTCACCGACCACAGTACCACCAACCTCGCCGACGACGAGCCAACGCTACCGGCGGCGCCGGCGCCTCTCCAACAGGGAGAGAGAGGCACAGACGGATCCTACTACGAGCACCCCGCGGTGGCGGAGAGCAGGACGTCTCCTTTGCGCGCGAGTGGCGGCGGACCAGTCCAGGTGAGGCATGCTGTGCATTTTACTCGTCGGATCAGATAGGCGGCAACAAATTTGGATGCCATTGGACACGGCATTCCAAATTACCTACTCACTTGGCACTTGTGTAAAAGTGTTTGCGGCAGTTTAAGTGTATGCCCCCAAATCTTGCGAGAGCAAGTACACGGAGGAGAATGCCTTGGGTTTACTATAGCTGAATATCCTCATAGGGTTTGGACGTTTGGTCAGTCATCTCATCTATTCCAACCATATAGTAGTTTGTTCAAGCAGCCGACTCGATAAGTGTATCACTGTGGTGAGAGTTATGCTTCCATCATCACAGGCACTTTTATAGGGTATATAGTAGCGGATACTTTGTTCTTCTTCACATGTGCAAAGAAATTTAATGAGAAATTGTGGCATCTGAAGATAAATCGGTGGATAGAGGGAGAGAGGGAGTGAGATTATGTTGCATTGCAAACTGCACTTTATGATATGTAAGGCCTTTTAGATGACCAAATTGAATTACATCTGATACATGGATGCCTCATGCCTGGCATACAGACAATGTATGTCCCTCATACAACTTGCATTTTTTTTTTGTTCTTTTTGTCAATTAGGCCACTAGATCTGAAAACCCACACATTTTTGTATTTTTAATGAACACATTTAATTTCAGTAATTCTTAGCTTTAAATCTTGTGACTTGATTTTGTTTTAATCGTAGTGACTTGTGTACCACTCCTTTTGCGTTTGTATGTATGTAAAAGTAATGAGTTTCATTTGTTCTTATTAAATACAAGCCTCAGGAAATTCAACTATTCAAGTTGATTATTTTACCTTTTCACCAAGCATTGCTGACTATATAAGCGAAGCATCAGTCATCAGCCATGCAGGTGATGACCAGATTATACAATGGCAGTAGGTGAAGCAGATGTATTACTTGCATTTGATTGTGAAATCTTAACCTATTTATATTGGTTGCTCTAAGAATATTTGAAGCAGACGTCACACCGATCATAAATTTCTTTGTTTTCCAGTCAACTGATTGTTCTCTATCCTTTTTCACATGAAAGTAGAGAAATTATCTGTGTTAGCCATTTTGTCAAACATCCGGGAGAATGCCAACTCTATGCTAAGAGCATTGGATAGCACACTGTTTTCAATCGATCATAGCAAGCTGAAATGAAATGGCTGTAGAAGGATGATGATATTTTATTTGAGAAACCAGTTGGTGAATGGATCAACCGATCCTAACCCTGGGTATGGTGTGTTTTTTGAGTTCTACAATCCAAGGTGTAATTGATGTCACTTTGTGCAGTAAGCAATCTGCCCAATTGCTTTCTACTTTGACGACCTTCATGTAACTTTGCACTTTGCAGGCTGAGAAGGCGTGCTTTGGTGGGTGACTAACCAAGAAATACAAGGACGAATCTTGAAATTGCCAGGTTGAACTCCCAGGTTAGTGTTGCTGTTGGGCTTCCTGAATCATCACCGAGGTGTCAATCTTGTCTGCTAGTGTTTGTTATAGCTATGGAGATTTGACATCCTGTTATTTCCTTGCATAGTTGCATGATAAGGTGATCCTAGTGACCTAAAGGGCGTACCCCAGTGTAGAGAGCTCCCGCTCTGTGCGGGGTCTGGGGAAGGATGTCAGTGGCAAGCCTTACCCTTGCTTGTGCAATGCGAGGAGACCGCGACTCGAACCCGGGACCTTCCGGTCACAGGCGGTAAGACTCTACCGCTTGCACCAGGCCCGCCCTTCAAGGTGATCCTAGTGACCTAAACATGCAAATAATGACGATGCTTTGAAGCACCTGGCTCACTAAAGAGACTTCATACGAAGTGATTTCATCTGTGAGGAAGGTGACCGGGTGCTCTGCCAATGCTGCATCTGTGTGCTTGCTCGCAGAAACTAACCGAATCAAATGCGCCAAGTAGCTAGACATACTAAAGTGCCATTGCCAGTACCAATAGGGCTGTAGAATATTCTTATAGTCACGCTAAAGATTGTGCATGTAGAAGTTATATGCTCCTGATAAATCTTTACCTCGAGTTTGAGCAGACAACTTTTTGATAGAGTATTTCTTGGATACTGGGTAACATATTGCGTGTGTGAGGGTCTTCTTGGTTGTATGCTTCTGAGATGATGTAAAATTAAATTACACTAATTTTCTATTCCAGATGTAGAGAGTTACAACTTCACTGGGAAAATATGACATTAATTTGCGAAAATTATTCTTCTTATGCTATCTGAAACATAGTACTTCCGAATTAGAAATCAGATAAGGTACAGAAGCAATTACAAAGCCTAAGTGTACTATATGGATGCTTCTTATATTCATTACTGAAAGTGATACATTTCATCTTGGACCAGATAAGATTGATGCCAGTGGTGGAGCTGAATATGCTGATTGATCACTTTGAACAGACAATACTGGATCTGAACTGAAGAAATTGTAATCTATGGAAGTTTCTACGGTCATTGTACCTTCCAGTACCTTTATTACCGTTGACATCAATGGCCTTCGACTGCTATCATGTTGCAAGCACCACATTGCAAGCTTCATCATCTGAATAACTTTATCCTGGTGTGTGACCATGTCATGACTTTGTTTGTCAATCATATCAATCAGCCTGTTATTTTGAGCCTTTTCTTGTAACAAATTGATCAGATGGATGCTTTCCTCAGGCTGAGAATTATCGATATTTTTTCTTCCACATATTACTTCCATAACAACAACTCCAAAGCTGTAAATATCAACTTTTTCGGTGATTTGCGACGTTAACCATTCAGGCGCCAGATACCCAGGTGTGCCTCTCATCACAGTCACTACTTTGCTTTGATCCCTGTCTATGAGCTTGGATAATCCAAAATCAGCCAATTTAGCATTGAAGTTGTCATCTAACAGAATATTCTGTGGTTTAATGTCCAAATGAGCAATTTTTCGCCGGCACTCCTCATGAAGATAGCATAGGCCCTTGGCAATATCCAGAATGATCCTACACCTGGTGCTCCAATCAAGAGGGGCATTATTGTGGCGGTAATATATCCACCGGTCAAGGGAACCTCTAGGCATATATTCATATACTAGAAGTCTATGTGCTTTCTCTACACAGAATCCTACCAGCCTGACAAGATTGATGTGCTCAGTGCTACCAATTGTTTCAATCTCTGCCAGGAATTCTTTTTTCCCTTGTCTAGCGCTCTCCAAACGTTTCACGGCCACTCTCTCTTCATTTAATTTCCCTTCAAAAACTGAACCAAATCCACCTTCCCCGAGCTTTTGACTGAAGTCTTCGGTGCATTCTCTCAACTTCGCATAAGAAAACCTCATTGGTTTGCCCGGCAATTGATCAAAATCAAATTCTTCATCTATCTCATGGTACTTCCTCCTCCTTTGTACATAAAGAGTGACAACAATGAGAACCAGTACAATACCAGTAACACCTCCAATTATAGCGCCTAAAATTGCCTTCTTTTTATTTGCAGTAGTTGCTCGGGGGAGGGGCTAAGCTGCACCTTGAGGTAAGCAGAGGAGTTGTAATGAAGAATCTGAGGTTGTATTGATTGCAAGGAGAAAACCCTCGTGACCCACAGGCAGTCACCATTGGATTCGTTCTGTCCATATGTGAACATCACGGCCTGGCAGGAACAATTTTTCAGGCACGCTTGCTTACAGTCATCGCTGTTTCTAGCATTTGCAATGGTGTGGCTTGTATTTATATCAAAGTATGAAACATCTTTTAGGGTCAAGAGCTCATGACGTTGAATTGCTTGACAGGAGATTGGAGTCAGAGGCGTGCAACCAATATTCGGCTTCCACCTGTCGATTAGCTTGAAGTAGCTTGAAGTAGAGTTACTCTGGAAGGGCAGCTGCATTGCCCTCCTGTGCATACCCCGTACTCCCCACAGACCGTTGGGAAAGCACAGTCATCATCAGGAAACATCTTGATCACATCATACACCATGACCCACTTTGCTTCAGTGCCAGACCATTCGTACAGCCTCAGGTGTCCGTCATTTTCAAATCTCATGTACTGGGTAGACTTGGCTGCTGGCAACGTGATACTTGAATATGGATCTGGCGTGGACTGTACAAAGAAACTGAAGCTGCCATTTGTTAAGGTAAACTGTGTCGGATGGTTTCCTGTCTTGTTTTTGTTCACCAATTTTGAGAAGTAGGGCTGTGGTGGTGTGGAATCAACGTAGGCATACAATCCATCATGGAGAACAGTTATATACAGCTGATTCTGAGTCCAGTTTGTTGCAGATGTATTTGCAGTGAGCCTCATGCTTTCCAGTAGTGACTGCCCAGGGACAAGCGCATCAGTCGGATGTTCAAACGACTGCCATACTGTTGCATTCTTCTGATCAAACAGCACCAGATTGCCCAGCTCTGTGATCATCATGCCAGCAATGGACCTGCCTGCAGTGCCGCCGACCAGACGCCAACGCCATCAGCATCACGGAGGATCAGGTTGCCATCCCCAGTAAGCTCGAGGGTGGCGTTCTCCTTAACTGGGTGGATCCGGTTAGCGGACCAGACCACCTGCGGAATGCCATTGGTTACAGAGGTGATGCCGGCACCACTGTTGGTGTAGACGGCGATGAAGACGGCAAACAGGAAAGCACCAGTGTCGCAGGGTGTGGAGGGGCAGAAGAACCCTGCGGCGAAAGAAGGACCATAGAGGGTGGTCTTTGGTGACGGAGAACAATGGCCCGTGCACGACGGAGCCATCGGCGTAGGTGATGCTGTGCTTGAGGGAGGCGTTGTTGTTGGTCCACATCGTTGAGAGGTTGGCCGTCGGGTAGTCGAAGAGCTGCCCGGTGATCAACGGAGTTGCAGTTGCAAGCAGGAGGAGGAGGAGATTGGAAGGAGCCATGGCACAGCTGCTAATAATTGAAGGTATTGTGGAGACGGTAAGATACAGTTATAATCTTGACGTGAAGGGTGTTGTAGAGATGAGCTTACAGCGAAGAAGAACTCACCTGACTACGGGCTCGACGGGGCGGCTCCAGTCGCCGGACCTGCTGCTGGCATGGATGGAGTTTGCCTGCCCGCCTGGGGCACTGAGATAGCAGTCAACCAGTCTTCTTCTCCCTTTGCATATCTTTTTGTTCGCATCATAAAGTTGAGAACCCCACTTTGAAAAAGAAGTAGACAACCACAACCACACCACGGCCACGGCACACGGTGTTTTGGTAGCTGGATTGGTTTTAGACTTTGAGTGTTTGACTGTTTCCAACTTCTGCAGCATGGTCGGTGCAGTGGCGCGTTTTTTACTGTTTCGGCACGCGGTGCAGGCGAGCAGTGGCTGTGCCGATCGAGGACATGGTCGGCCGTGGCGTGGAGTCTAGATCGTCAACCAGCTTCGTCCAGCGTCAACATTTTAGTTTGAAGATACGATCTAAGACAGCATGGAAAATACGTAGATGAAATCATATATTTATTTTTTGTTATATTATTATAATAGAAAATCATAGTAAAGCTATATTCTGGTATAAAAATTATGAAATTGAAGGGACTATCTTGTAGGCTGTTAAGTTGATAGAATCTTTGTCTGTCGCTGCTGTCCGAAGTGGACATCTTAAGCTGATGTAATCCTTGTTTCTTGCTGCTCTTCGCAGTTACTTTGAAGAGGCTTTGCAAGAGTTTTGCTTTTAACTTTTCGGATGGTACGCCATTCACAGTGTTGTGTTTTGAGTTTTGACTTCAGTTAAAAGACCGGGACCTGCCCTAAAATTCTTTTTTAAAAAAAACTTTAACGTTGACTCATTTCTTGTGACAAATATATTCCATGAAAGGATTTTTGTGGCAAATCTTGCCCTAGCTTGACAAAAAGCAGGCATGACAACGTTAGAAGCCTGCATGTCGGCTGGTAGATTAAATAACACGTAAATGTAATGTGCAAAAGGAAAGAGGCATGCATACTTAATAATGAGGGGGTAAAATTATAACTTTGTCAGTGCCAAAATCTTACATATAAGGGCGTCCCAGTAGCCCTGTGATTCTGTGAAAATCGGCAGGCGAGGAGTAGGGCTGAAAAAATAAACAAATCTCTATATGCACAGCTCACGGATATGGACCAGGAGGGCAGAGACAGTGAGTTTCGCTATTGCGAGCTGAGCGATGAGCTCCTCGCTAGCGCTCAATTTGCAAATTGAACGCTAGCTTAGTAGGGATGAAAACGGATCGGATACTGAACGGATATCACTCATATTATATTTGTTTTCATATTTCATTTGGATTCGGATTCGGACACGGATAGCGTTCGGATACATATACTAATACTGGATTGACTCGGTTACGGATACGAATAATGAGTATCGAATACGGTATGAATCGGATTCGGAGAAGGTCGGATACAAATATCTATTCGGATATTGAGTAAAAAAAGCATATATATATATATATATATATATATATATATATATATATATATATATATATATATATATATATATATATATATATATATATATATATATACATACGCATAAACCATTACACCACTCTATGAGTCCATAATCCATCTAGATTAAGCCGAAAGACTAAAGAGTAAAGCAACAAATAAGATAAAGATATGAGATACATCATACATCAAACATCATACAAGCACCAATCTTGGCGGCATGAGTAGAAATAGCCAAGCTCATGGCTTCATGGGTCTCATGGAGTCATGGTCATGGATTCAAGATCTACAATCCTTATATAGGCTATTTTTTTCATTTGAGAAAGTTTGAACAAAATGTAGTTCAAATTTCACAAGTGTGTGACATAGTTTTAGAAAGTCCAGTATGAGATTCAAGAATTTGTGACTAGTGTTTGATAAAACTTTCTCAAATGGGAAAATGATATATGTAACAATTGTAGATCTTGCTGAGATGATCAAACTTGTTATTCAGAGTTTTTTCATCTGAGGTCATTTAGTGTCTCATTTGAGCAAGTTTGACCAAGTCAAATTTGGTCAAATGAAAAACAACACTTTGACTCTAGTATTATGAACTCTAAATGACTTCAAATTGAAAAGTTTTGAATACCAAGTTTGTTCAACTCATCAAGATCTACAATTGTTGTTTTGGTCAACTTTCCATTTGAGATAGTTTGGACGGTTCAAATTTGTGATTTTTAAATTTCGATGCTTACAAACTAGTTTTCGGAACCCTAGATTGTCTCAAATTGAAAAGTTTTGAATACCAAGTTTGTTCAGCTCGTCAAGATCTACAATCCTTATATAGGCTATTTTTTCATTTGAGAAAGTTTGAATGAAATGTAGTTCAAATTTCACAAGTGTGTGACATAGTTTGTAAAGTCTATATGAGATTCAAGAATTTGTGACTAGTGTTTGATAAAACTTTCTCAAATGGGAAAATGAGGTATGTAACAATTGTATATCTTGCTGAGATGATCAAACTTGGTATTCAGAGTTTTTTCATCTGAGGTCATTTAGTGTCTCATTTGAGCAAGTTTGACCAAGTCAAATTTGGTCAAATGAAAAACAACACTTTGACTCTAGTATTATGAACTCTAAATGACTTCAAATTGAAAAGTTTTGAGTACCAAGTTTGTTCAACTCATAAAGATCTACAATTGTTGTTTTGGTCAACTTTCCATTTGAGATAGTTTGGACGGTTCAAATTTGTGATTTTTAAATTTCGATGCTTACAAACTAGTTTTCGGAATCCTAGATTGTCTCAAATTGAAAAGTTTTGAATACCAAGTTTGTTCAGCTCATCAAGATCTACAATCCTTATATAGGCTATTTTTCATTTGAGAAAGTTTGAACAAAATGTAGTTCAAATTTCACAAGTGTGTGACATAGTTTCAGAAAGTCTATATGAGATTCAATAATTTGTGACTAGTGTTTGATAAAACTTTCTAAAATGGGAAAATGAGCTATGTAACAATTGTAGATCTTGCTGAGATGATCAAACTTGGTATTCAGAGTTTTTTCATCTGAGGTCATTTAGTGTCTCATTTGATTAAGTTTGACCAAGTCAAATTTGGTCAAATGAAAAACCAACACTTTGACTCTAGTATTATGAACTCTAAATGACTTCAAATTGAAAAGTTTTGAATACCAAATTTGTTCAACTCATCAAGATCTACAATTGTTGTTTTGGTCAACTTTCCATTTGAGATAGTTTGGATGGTTCAAATTTGTGATTTTTAAATTTTGACGTCTATAAACTAGTTTTTCATTTGAGAAAGTTTGGACGGTTTAAATTTTGAAGCACTAAATGATTTCAAACGAAAAAGTTGTAAACAACAAAGTTTCATAACTTTTTGAGATCTACAATTTTTATTTTGATCATTTCTCCATCCAAGGTCGTTTGAATAATATCCGGATAATATCCGTTTTTAAATATCCGGATATATCCGATACTTAACCGGATTATCCGATATCCGCCGGATATCGATGATATTACATCTGTATTTGATATCCGCCTAAGATATCCGTTTTAGTATCCGTATCCAAAAAAAATTACGGATATCCGAGTAACTATCCAGATAAGTGTTCATATTTGTTCGGTCGAACGGATGGTCGAATAAATATCCGTACCGTTTTATCAGGGATTCTCTAAAAACTCGATTTTTTAGAGAGCGACGATTATTTTGTGTTATTAAGTAGTAAAATCAATTCCTCAACAACAAAAAAGAGTAGCAAATAATCAATGACCAGGTGGAGTATTTTTCAATTAGTTATCAAAATCAATTCTCACTCTGAACCGTAAGCCGTGACCGGTGAGGATCAAATCTTACTGGATTATTGGATTGGTCCCTGCAAGAGCCTGTGTGGAAGTGGAACTCCACGGAGCAGCAAACCTCCTGGTTCATTTTGGTGGAGCAGCCAAAGAGTCGCTAGCTTCACGATTTGTGTTTTTTTTCCTTTGGCACAGCTACGCACCGTGAATTCTTTTAGAACAAAGTACCAAATCTAAAGTAATAGGGACAATGATGTTTTTAAATAGGATTAACGATTGTGTTTTGTCAAGTAGCAAAATCTCGACCAGCGCATGCACACGTACACTCCCTGCCCCTAGTCTGTGCGCCGCCGACCGACGTTTCCCAGCAAGGCAATGCAGCTATGCAAGCAGCCGGCCTATCCGCTCTTCACGAGCCGACTTCAGGTTTCGGCTGCTGAGGTGCCCACAGGCATTCAGCTGGCGTGCTTTAACTTTTTCACTTGCCGCGTGGCTTGTCGGCCTCTCAGTAGCCGATAGACGGTAGGCTTGTCGGCTTATCTTTAGACAAAGCATGGAATATACATAAGAAATATGTTTGAAAACATAAATGTTGATATTTCACAACAAAGATTTGCATTCTTTTTGGATGGAGGAGTATTTATGTTTATCAATTTTTTTGTTTTTGTACCATCACAAGTATTTGCAACCACTCAATGCTTGGCAATTGGATAAAAAACGTACAAACACATGCAAATTAAAATGCATGGAAACTGTAACGAGCTATGAAACCACATGGTATTTAGGATTTTCTTATAAACATTATATGTAGCCGGCTTTGCATATGTTATATGGAAAGTATTAGATTAATTGATACTATCTCGCAAAAGGAGAAATAGAGTAGAAGTTAATTAAGAAGGAAGAGAGGGCACATGCTTAGTCATGAGATGTGACCTTGCTTTCACCTTCTCTGCGTGGCGGACACATAGGAGGGAGTACAGACACCGGACAATAAATAAATGATGCGAAATGGGGCCTATCGGCTCTTCACAAGCCGACTGGAGGTTTCAGCTGCTCAGTGCCGACAGGTCTTCAGCTGGCGTGCTTTAACTTTTTCACTTGTCCAGACGGGTCAAATCGGCCTCTCAAAGCTGACCGATAGGTGCCGTGATGGTCCGCCCAATGAGCAGCGTGTTTT